ATATGTGCTTATAAAAATGCATGTGGTAGTTTGAGTGATGTAAATTTAGTTATAAAAGTATTATAAAAATCAATTCTTAATTCAATTTTAGTCATGTTTTAGATAATATAACTGGTATTACTGAAATAATTTGACACAATATTTACACAATTTATGCCCTCGGGGATCTGAAGACTTAAAAGAGGCCCTTACAAATGCCATAAATATTTGCTGTTTCTGAGCCCTAAAGGAGCTCCTGCCAAGGAAGTATTTAGTCATGCACAGAGCTTCAGGCTGGGGTGATGATCTTCAGTTGAATCAGTAGGGCTAGCTAAGCAAGATTTTCACATTATGTTACACTTTTCATGCACCTGTGCCAACTAACGGTTCAAAAACAGCACGACCCACAAGTAAACTTCATGCTGTTGGACACCAAAACTTCAATGTGCCACTGGCTACTAGATACAGCCCCTATTGGGCCTCCTCTATTCATTTCAGAGAATATGGATTCAGCAAAAAAAAAAAGAAGCTAAACAGCAGCATGACCAACTTCAGTGTGTGCCTCAAGAAATATCCCATCATTCCTAACACCTTGCAGAGTGTGCCTCCATAAAAATAGGACCAATGATGCTAAAACCCCATTAATTGCTTCTAGAGCCTCTGCAAAAGCTTATAATGCCAAAATTACATTTTTAGAGCCTTCTACTTTCACTAATGAGGCTTACAAGCTGAATGGGCCTTCCTTTTTCATAGCATCAAGGTTTGATATGTACTGTACTGTGTGTGAGCTTTGGCAGTGTGCTGAGAACATTCTCCATCTTTTTATAGCATGTTGACTGAACCATTCTTTTCCTGATGTACAGTAGTGTTTTTCATTTGCAACATTTCACAAGTATGTTTAATATAAATATTTCTTTGTTAGGCTGGTTAAATAAAAATATAATCCCGTCAACACTGTGTTTCCTTGGCTACTGCAGATTTGCTGCATATGAATGTGAATGCTAGAAGACGGAGTTGCAAAAGACTATTATAACCCACGCAGATACACTTACACACAATGCTAATCTCCACCATGAATGCATGCTTCCACCACATGCATGTATAAAAACACAGGCAGAATCATAAGTAAACAACCCCAAACAGTTCTAACGTGCTGCGGAGTATAAGCTGTAGAAGATGAAAATCACATTTTTATGTCTGCATTTATTTCGGTTAATATTGGCACATAAATTAGTTGGGAGGATGAAGAAGCTATGTGAACCATGTTAGAAAGCTAAATGGTCCAATTTTCCCTCTCAGGCAAAGACACATCCTTCACATCATTCTTGGCTATACACCAGTTAATCTCCCATGGCTATTATGGGGTAAGATGGCACAGAAAATGAGGATTTGCAATTTGTTGGGAATCACTGTGCATTTGCTGGGATCAGCTCGAGTTAAAACACCTGTCAGAAAAGGTTTGACAATATTGGTATAATTTGTAACAGCAGTAATTAAATTAGCAGTCTTAGCATAGCATAGTAGTCCTTTCAATTTATAGCTAAACTCCTCTACATAAACAAAGTGTAGTCCAAATTATTATATGTAGTTCAGTTTAAGTGTCTTGAGAGTCTTTTGACAAATTACAAAGCAATATAATGAGAAAAAAAAGTGTGACAGCTCTTCAGAAAGTTACAGTACAGGTAGCTGTGTCAGCTTTTAAGCATTTCTACATGTTGCCAAAAGAGACAAAAGCTGATAAGACCGGGCAAAAAGAGAGAATAGTAGCATAATGTGAGATTTGCCATAATAATCCTGTGAATTGTCTGTGTTGTATCCATATAAGTCAGATGTTCTGGTATTTCGTCACACTGATTCTGTTTAGTTGGAACATGTGTTTGCTGGATGTGGCAGGCCTGTCACAACATGCAGGCACTTGCATACAGCAGGCATCTATCATCATTGTTACACATTCCTTAGGATGGATCTAGATTTACAGTGCATGATAGTCTCCTGAGCAAAATAAAGAATAAACATCTCTGTCTTTGACTCACTGATTTCCCTTGGCAGTGATCTCTCCTAAAAAAAAAACAAAAAAAACTTCCTGCCTCTCTCAACACACCAGCACTGTCAGAGGACGATGACTCTGATGCCTCAGCAACATGCATGCTGCTAAATGGTGATCTTCTCCAACAGATGGCCATTTGCTCAGGGCTATAGCAACACTCATAGAAAGGAATAGCAAGAATACTAAGCAGCTGTGGATTTTGATTCATTTTTCAGATTCCACAGCCTTCAAATTATTCCCCCCAATTTTTAATCTTTGAGATAAACTCCTTTGTTTTACAGTTAGAAAATTTTTCTAAACTGCTCTGTTTTCAGCAAGTTGCCCCAAACTGAAGCAAATCTGACACAGTTGTTAGAACCCCAAGGGAAAGTGAGCAAATAAAGTGATTGTTCACAATAATGACCCATCATCGTTATCTTTCTCACTCAGCTGGTAATGAACTTTGCCTCTGCCAGCATGCAGCATGTGTGTGTGTGTGTGTGTGTGTGTATGCTGCATGTGTGGATGATAATTTCTGCTTATGGTGGAGATAAAGACTGTGTTTATATAAGTGTAAGTGCATTTGTGTCGGTCATATGGATATCAAATGTTCAGCTGCTATACGATTTTGAGCATAACTATGCGACAGGTGATAAAGAGCCTGATCACAACTTTGTATTCTAACATTCATCTTCATAAGCAAGTAACAAGCAGTAGCAAATATATTTGGTATATAACATAGACTGGACTATATTATTATATAATCAACATAACAAATATTTATATGAAAAGTTTCTGTAAAATGTGCACTGCTAAAGCAAAACAGAATATATCTGCAAAATGTGCACTATCACCATATAAGGTCAAGGTCAAGGTCAAAGTGTTTATTTGTCATATGCTCAGTTAGGAAACGTGTTTCCCTGTACGGTGAAATTCTTACTTTGCTGTCCACATGAATGCCACACAATACAAGTGAGATATAAGGTAGATGAGCAATAACACAAATCTAAATAGGCAGTAAAATCACAAATCTAAGGCACTTTAAAGCAGCAAGTGAAGGAAGCAAATAAAAATACAACAAGAACACAATATAATGCAGAAAGAATGTATGCTATGTGGGAGCCGTGAAGTGCAAATACTCAGCAGTGAGTGTGCAATTATGCATGTGCAAAATGAGAATGTAAACAGTACAGATGGAATTACATGAGGCAGATCCTGAGTCAGCTGTTTAGGAGTCTGATGGCAGTCGGAAAAAAAGGAGTTTTTCAGTCTAGAAGTCCTGCATTTCACACTTCTGAGCCTCCGACCGGAGGGTAGGGGTATGAACAGTCCGTGCTGGGGGTGGGTGGGGTCAAACAAATTATAACTCACAGGTGTATACTACAAGTAGCACATTGTTAAGATAAGGTTTAGGGAAAAACCATGGTTTTCATTAAATATTAAGATAACATGATTTGGAAATTACATGTGTTGACATTTCATTATATACAGAAACAAAAATATTGGTAGTTTAAATGACAGCCTGGACAGGATGTCTTGGGTCTCAGTTCCACTGTCCAGTGCTTTACACGAATGACCACCTCCTCTATCTGACTTCTCTATGGTACAAGACTGACAAAAAAAATGCATATTTGGTCAAGACAGTTGCTAGCAAATGAATACATTTTGTAGGCCACCGGTTTGCTAGAGGATGTGCAACAGTACATCACACTGTGAGACAAAAAAAAGAGTAATTAAATTTTCGCACAATGAGGAGCACGGATGGTGCAGCAACACGCTGGTACATCTGAGCTCCACATTTAATGTTGCACTCTGACATACACACAAACACATACAGGCTGCTGCTGTTTTATTCCCCACGGAACCTCCAGTGTGCACAGATATACATAAGCATAGAAGTAAAAAGTGACAGCTACATACACAAGCACACCCTTCTCCCAAATGAGTCCAACTAACAGACCGTGGAGAGGGAGGTGCAGTGATGCAGAGACAGGGGTTGTGTACAGGGCTTCATGCTCACTGCCTGGGAATTATCACATCAAACTTGTATGCCCAATGGTTCTGACAGGCACAAGGCCAAACCACTGTGTCCTGGTGTAGACAGGAAGGACTCTGATGCACTATGACTATTGTTGTCCTCCTATGATTCACACCACACCAATAACATTCAGATTTACACAGACAACGAGAGAGGAAGGTCTTGTCAAACACATTAAAACAACCAACACAGTCAGTTCAGTGAGTTTTGCATAGGCGGGTTTTCATGATGTATTAACATTCTCATCCACTGTGGCTTTGACATTTTGAAGAAATAAAAAGCCTACCACTGAAATCAGTCTGTGGTGCTCTGTAGACTCAGCTTTTATTTGCATGATGTGTTCAGTCAGCAGCTCAGCGCACCCTGCAGCACTTCATAAGCAAGAAGTCATTTTGGCCAGATGAGATGGTGAAGTAGGGCGCTCTCAAAGAGCTCATGCATTTGCAAAGCCTCCACCATGAGCTGTTTAAATTACACTTGCTTTGCTGTTGCCTTCACACACACACACACACACACACACACACACACACACACACACACACACACACACACATATAATTTGAAGAATTGGTCCTGTTGTCTCCATTACTGACAGATTTTGTTGGACATATTGTTATGTAGACTGTGGTTGACTCCAGTAATATATAATCTTGCTGTTCTGCTTGTGTGCCAGTGAGCAGCTCAGACCAAGAGAGACATACAACCATGGCAGCAGAGAAAAAATAAAGAATGATCAGCATTTAATTGTCTTTAAAAAAGTTATTTCTTCACATTTCCTATTTTGGCCACATTGTACCATCATATCAACCACTCATGTCTGAAAAATGAGAGGAGACAAACACAGGGTGAGTTTTAAACTTCCTCTGCTATATCTCCAAGAAAATTGTGCCAAATAATTCAGTTTTTTTTAACACAACATACCCATAGAATCAAAATGTTTTGTCACCATGGCAACAACTTTGTGTACTTCCCAAGCGACCTGCAGAAAAATAGTGAAATTATTTGGAGTATTTTTATACTTTGCTGATTTCCTGTTTGGTTCCTAAATACCTATATTGCATGCACTCAGAGACCACTCGTATTTAAGGTAGGCTGCTGTTTACATGATGTTTTATTGAGTTTCGAGGAAACATTCAGCAATTCAGTCCCACTAGAGCTGCATTTAGCTAAGTCCCTACTCAGTAATGTTTTACTGACTGGAAAATATCAGTGTAATATGAGAATGATTTATCCACATCATATTTAAAGGGCCCATGGCATGGTTTTCTTTGTTTTTGATTTATCTACACAGTGAATTATCATCTTAGACATGACCTAAAGCTAAAACAATTAGGTGTTTGTATGTTCTAGTATTTCTATGTAGAAGCAACTCGGTTTATACAAGTCTTGCAAACTCTTGCTCGTGAGACTTTTTTTCTACCAAAATAAAGTATTGAATGATAGTTCATGTACTGCGCTTTACCTATCCATGGAGGAAACATTCATATTAATTAATGCTGTCACGGTTCGCTGTGCTGTCCACTTGCAACACAACACCCGCAGCAGGAGCTGTGCACATTCACAAGCTGTCCTCTCGTTTTAAGGAAGAGGCTTTTAGGCTCTCTGATTTCCAAACAATTACAAACTATTTGGAGTTATGAGGAGTGCCAAACTAATCTAGAGGTACCCAAGATTAAACATTAAATGGCTCGAAATGAGCTAAATGAGCACACCCTGGGCACTTTAAGATTTGTGACTTTTCTTGTGTTAATGGCCAGCTGTTAGCTGTGTTACACACAATACACCACTTTACATGGATCTTTTGGTTTAGATAGTTACATCAGAAAAGGTTAATGAAGCTGTTTGATTTGTGAGGGATCACACTGACGGATGCAGCAGGAGAGCAGCCCACTGCAGGGTACCCAGTGACAGCACTGGCTTAGGCATATGTCTGAACTCTGAAGGGCTGCAAACAGAGAGATGAAACGCATATGTAGAGAGAGACACATGCACAAACAGAGAGTCACAAACTCTTTTGTCTCACTGAGAGAAAGAAATGACAAGGAGAGGAAAGGGACTAAAAAGGGACCATCACAGACACTGTGTTAGTATTTCATGGAAGACACAAGGAGAGGAGCGAGGTTGGAAGGTGAGAGAATTGGAGAATGTTGTGCAGAGTGAACAACCTGACTTCTTTTTTTAATCCTGTCTCACGCAGAGCTTGAAAAAGTAATTTAATTTTAACAGTGAGCTCAGGTGAGATAAATGCTAGGATTCATTTAAGGGTTGGTATTTGTAGTCAGTAGTTCTTGCAGAGAACCACGTTGACTAATAAATTACTAGTAGTTGCATACTGTTTTCAGAATTGCAAGCCGATTCCTCTCAAGTTAAGGAGCTTTCAGATTTCACAAAGAAACTATAGAACAACATCCCAGGACAAACATCAAGAGATTAAGAGGTTATAATGATTGTGTGCAGGGCAAGATGAAAAAACACAAGACCCCTTTTTCCAGAAGAGTTGAAATCCAGGATCTGTACCAGTCTTACACCGGCACCTCAGGTCAGACTACTATGCCTGCCTGCATCCTCCTCAGGTTCCTCCACAAGGAGCAGATGGAACTCTCAGCAAACGAGGAGATGGCAGAGAGTCTGATTGACAGATATGAGATTGAAGAGACAGGTGAGTGAAGGGAGAGCAGTGGACCATGTCAGACTGCTTGCTACTCCTTGCTATGGATAAAAATTACTCTGTTCTTTAAAGTCTTAGGCTTTGTTACGTAATGATACTAATTTAGTTATAACAGAAGTCCAGGCCTAAGCTGCAGCGTTGCCTGACTGACAGATCTGCTGTTAACTCAGAGGCAGGCAGCTGGATTTATGGAGGAAAACGGAAGCGCTAGGCACGCGAGTGAACTAGTAGACCAGATGTCTAGAGCCCAGTGCACTGAAGGCTAATTCATACCATCACAAACAGCACAACAAGAAAAAGAACAACACAAAGCTCACAACTAGTCTGTGTTGCAGATAAATAGAAGGCCTCACTTTGTGGTATAGTCCTTGAGTAAGAAAGGTCTTCAAGGTAATTAAGTCACACAATGTCAGATTGTATGACTAAGAATGCAGCTTTGCAAAGAGAGCGTCTGGTATGATGTTATTAAGCAATACATCCAGACATGAAAGAGGATAAAACATTAAAGTCTGGAAAGATTCAACATCAGCAAATCCAGTGCATTCTACCTCTTACCACAAGTCAGTAATTACTATGATCTTAACTTTTTATTTTGTAATACAAACACTGAGTAACCAGAAAAAGAAGACCTTACACAACCAATAAGAACCATTTACATCAGCCCTGCAGGAAAGCCTGCCCTCATAATGTTCTGTTTTGTCAGGATTGGGCCAGAAAGGTGTTGATTTTATTTTGCAAATGTGTATACTTCAGTGATCATGTTGAATTAGACTGTGTTATACTATACATTAACCATTTGATGGGGTGTCATAAAATTTGGTACAGACATGTATGGCACTCAAAGGATGAATTACTTTCATGATACCTCAACTTTTATTCTACTGCCATAAGAAGTTCCAGTGTTTGGTTTCAGTACCTGCAAAACCAAGGACACAGCCACCAGCTTCAGCCATATTTGTGTTTTGTGCTAATTACTAAATAACATGCTAAACTATGACCATGGTAAACACTAACATCAGCATTTTAACTTTTCTATTGTGGATATATTGGCTAACAATTCCATTTAGCTCAAAGCATTACTGCAGCTGTACGATGGTTATTAATTTGGTGGCAGCATTAGGAACAGGACTTCTGCTTAACCTGGACACTGTACTTTTAAAAAACTTTTTTCTGCAGTTGATAAAAGAACTGATGCTGCCTATGACTGTCACTGACAGAGTGCTACACTCTTTTTCTTTCAGCCAGAAAAAGCAGGTCCATGACATTCGAAGGATTTTTCAGGTACATGGAGTCCAAGGACTGCTGTGTGTTCAACCAGGCCCACACATTGGTGTACCAAGACATGGACCAGCCTCTCACCAGTTATTTCATCTCCTCATCACACAACACCTACTTGACTGGAGATCAGCTAGTAGGAAAAAGCCATCTGGATGCCTATGTTTGGTAGGAAGTGCAGTATATACAGTACAGCTTGCGCTTTTCATGATACAGCACTTCAGAAATCCATATTTCATTAATCTGCTAAACAAAACAAATAATAAGGCCAATTTAAATACAAGTTAGCTCTGATACATCTTATGTACCTCATCTCTCCAAGTTCTCCCCTCCAAACCTACATGCATAGTATCTGGATACTCTCTTTTCCTCTCATTTCATTGACCCACTCATGAGCTGAGGCAGACGGTGAAACTGCTGTGTACCTTTTATAGGACAATGGAAGTGATTAGAAAAGGTGCTGATGGTGGCAGAAGTGCTATATTTATGGTCCCTGTGGAAGTGCTGAGCACCCTGGTAAGCTGGTGGAGTGGAACCCTCCAACCCAGTAGCCTGGAAGCTCTGGTTTTCTTAGATAATGAAAGAGTCATCTGGAGAGGACAACAAAGCGGCAGGAGTAGAAGGTGGCTTTTAGAAATCTCTTTAGCTCACAGTTGGGTGTAGAAATGAAAAAAAACAAATTAATTTGTTTTGTAAAGAAAGACGTGATTCACATCAGGCTGTGGTGTGAAACATGGGGTACATTCCTTTAATCACACCCATGTTTATCTCATATCTCTTCCCTGCATCTGAACATATGGAGGCATTCAAGGAAACTTGTAAACCTTGTCATATTCCATCCTTGTGTTTTGACTTGTGAATAGGCTGTGTTTGGAAAGGAAATAGGTCGGTTTGTGCCACACAGTACATTACACAATACAGTAATAATGTTGCCACAGCACAGTATGTGTGTATTTGTCTCTATATGTATACATTTTGTATGTGTGTGTGTCACAGTGCTTTGAGAAAATGCTGCCGCTGTCTGGAGATTGACTGCTGGGATGGGCCGGATATGGAGCCTGTAGTCTACCATGGCTACACCCTAACCACTAAAATACTCTTTAAGGATGTCATCACCACTGTGGAGCAGCATGCCTTTGAGGTAACACCATATAATATGTTACACTGATGTGTGGTGGTGCCCCAGACACCCAAGACTTCCTATTAAACTGCAATCACTCGACAAATATCTCTAATAGTAAAGCTTTGCTTGCAAGTTGTCTTTGACCTTCTCTGTGATGTGTCTGGAGACACTGTAGACAGAGCTATATAGTCCATCCAAGTTGATGCTAATCATTTGTAATAAAGATTGAATCATGATGTTTTTGTGTGTGTGTGTGTGTGTGTGTGTGTGTGTGATTATTTTTTTGACAGATGTCTGTTTACCCAGTGATCCTGTCATTGGAAAACCATTGCTCCCAGGAGCAGCAGGAGATCATGGCCCAGTACCTTATTTCCATCCTGGGGGACAAGCTGCTGAGAACTCCCTTGGATCGCCAAACCACAGGAAACCTCCCAAGTCCAAATGTAAGAGAACCTGAGTGGTAAATCAGAAGTAGAATCTGTGTTACAGTGAATGTCAGAGCTGCCCGTGCAGTCAGAAGAATGTGAGTGTTTGCATGTACATGTCCTCATTGTTTGTCACAGCAGGGTCTCATTAGTCTCCTGAGGCTTCCTGTGCCTCTCTTCTGCACTAGGACATAGGGTAGATGGACATCTGCATGTGCAAGCCTCTTCAGTCTCTCAGAAAGTCACAAAATCTAGTGTGATGTAATTGATCCTGAGAAGTGTCAATCATTTAAATGTGCCAAGGAACTCGAGTTGTTTATTTAGATAACCCTGTCTGGGTTCTAACTTCTCCATTGAAAGCATCTGCCTCCACCAAAGACTGGAGCGACTTGCCTGACAGATACAGGTACAGACACGCCAGCTCCGCTGATCACTGAGTGTGACAAGGAGGATGAAGGGTAGATGTGCCGTTTTGCCAGGGTTTCTACCAATTTGGAATGTACTGCAAAAAATGAGCTGTGTTTTATGTTAAGTGTGCATGAGATTTTTTTTTTCTCTCCCTAATGTTTTTTATTTTTATGACTCAGGAAGTGAAGGCTTACATCAGAGCCTCAGTGCTAATGGTTTCATCTCGATTCTTAACCTTGAGCACTGATTCAAAGTTCATATGTCACATTTATACAGCTTCACACCCAAGATACCATCCGGTTATGAAAATGGAACAATATGAATTGTTCATTACTTTAATACCTTTTAAATTAGTTTACCAAGGTGTCATATCCACAGTAAGGCTCTTTCTATTAAATTCATTATCATTAATTAGAAATGAGCCATCGTTCATTAAGAAATTATTCCTTAATTTTATTCTATTTTTACAGTAAATGTGAGGAAACATTGTCTTTGAGAACCTGTAATGATATCTTAAATTACAGTGCAGTGCCAAAAGATGCTCTGAAGCTTATAATTTTCATACTGTATGGACTTTTACAGGTTGTTAATGTTGGCAGATCTGTAATTATTTTGCATATTTTGTCTATGGCTCCAGTATGTGTGACACCGGTAGGTGGACTTCCTGGCATGTGGTTAACCACGGAGCTGCTTCCAAATCAACACCATAATGTTTTTACTTTTAGCGTATTGCTGCTCATTTGCATCAAGAGACCTTCAGAGTACTAACAGATCTGGAGCCAGGAGCAGATGTGCAATTCACTGATTCAGTTCACCTGCTGCTTTCTGCTCCTTTGCACTTCTTCTCTATGCACCGATGTGGATGTGAGAGACTCTTTGAAGAAATCAGAGGCGGTGGGATGTGCAAAATGAACATTTTGATGTTTGTGTGCTAAGTTTGAGTAAACACACACAGTATATGTCCTGGCATGTGTGAATCCATACTCTCGCTCTCTCTCTCTCTCTCTGTGTGTGTGTGTGTGTGTGTGTGTGTGTGTGTGTGTGTGTGTGTATGCCAGGACTTGAAGTATAAGATTCTCATCAAGAATAAAAAGCTAAAGCCCCAGATTAAGACTGAGGATGCAGCAGGGACAGAGGCAGAGGAGAGTGTAGATGAGAGCCAGGATGATGATGAGGAGGATGAAGACTATCAAAACACAGCAAAGTGCTGCTCTCCCAGAAAGGCAGGGCCAAAGAAAAAAGTAAGTCAGGGCTTTTCATGTCCAGTTTAAATCATATTTCTCATGACATTTTGAATGGAAACAAAAGGTAAAGGCTTAGTCCTGAAGTTATTGGAATGTGTGCTGTTCTCAGTTTGTCTTTTTCTGTCCCTAACATTATGAATAGGAGGAGAAGGTGATGTTGAGCAAGGCTCTGTCTGACCTAGTCGTATACACCAGGTCTGTAAAGTTCATCAGCTTCAGTTATGCTAGGCATTGTCAGAACTATGATGAGAACACATCTATGGCAGAGAAGAAGGCTCATAAGCTAGCAAAAGCCACAGGTAAAGTGTCATTCATTGCTTTAGAATCATGGGAAAAGGGATGGAATCTTGATATTGAATTAATCAAGACTGTATATAATTAATTGTAAATATAATAAAATGTCTGATTAGTGCAGCAGATCCATGCGATTTATAGTTGCACTGAGCTCAGAGAGAAGGTTCCCCCATATCCACTTTGGACCATAAATGCAATTATAAGCAAAGCCATAAGCCACAATAGTAGTGAGAGCATGACACATACGACATAGGGGAGTAATTTTCTGGGAATCAAACACATAGGCACAAGACCAGAAATGTGCCTTATAGATTCCCCGTTTGGGAACTGAAGACAGCACAGAGTTAAACTGCCAACGCACTGCTATGCGCCGGCAGGCTGGACAAACCGGGGGGGGTAGGGAAATGAAATGGGTTTGTGTTTATGGACTCTCCAGACACACAACCATATTATGAGCTGGTGGGCTTGGTAGGTAGAGACCATGAACCGTCTCCACCACAGTGGAGCTGTAAAAACCTTTCTTGTGAAGCCCGCAGGGGAAACAGCACAGCATTGGCACGAACACACACAGGCTGTCATTTGGTTAGGTTCTTTTAGTACATCCACAATGAGGATAATTATAAGAGTATGAAACCCTGATTTGACATTAAGCTAATAATGTGTACATCTTACTATGTATGATTTATTTGATACAATTAAAAGTCATTCCCTCACAGTCATTGTTAGTGAGTCAAGTTGTTAGGCTAAAATGTACAGGATGTGGGGGGTGACATCTGCATCTGAGTCACCAAACATCCTCATTAAGGAGTGTGTGTCAGAGGAGACATCTGACCTTTGTGTTGTGTGTCCTCCCTTTCAGGTGCAGATTTTGTTCGGCATAACCAGAATTTTCTCAGCAGGATTTACCCGGCAGGCTCAAGGACCTCTTCATCCAACTACAACCCTCAGGAGTTTTGGAACATCGGCTCACAACTCGGTGAGTCGTCGAGACCAAGAACATGCCTGGCCAAAATAGGACACACTCACGGCACAGTCCATGTGCACAAATAAGATGAGTAAAATTTCATGCACATGCCCACAAACATTTAAAAAAAACCTACATTTATTTTGGCACAGGAATCTGAAAAGTATTTCATAACTTAGCAAACAATGCAGATGTTTATAAATTCAAGTTATTAAAGATTTCAATTTATGTTTAAATGGCTAATAAAGGCTCTTAAAGAAATACAAAATATGTCATCTTAAAAAGGTGTGCTGACATTTTCCTTTTCTTGCCAACTATGTTTTTGTTTTGGTTGACATTAAAACCCTGAAAACATCAATTTAAAAAAAGAATCCATTAATTCTTTCAGTCTGCAGTTTTAAAAGGAATCAAAAGGTTTTCAGCACACACTGAACAACCTGCACAATTCATTTCAAGCAGAAACAAAAGGAAATGCAGGCTGAAAACGCCAGCTGACCAAGCGCCCTGTTGATGAGTGATGAAAGGAGCACGTCATCTCCTGGCTCTTATCACACCTATTTGGGGTCACAGCTGTTGTACAGTTATTGTTTTAGAGTCAAAGGTGAACACTTGGATTAACTCCATGCCATAAACCTGTGCGTCACGGTAGCAATGACCAAGAGAAATCTCACTTTACTTCAATAAATCATGCATAAACGTTATGCCGTCAAACTCGATGTGTGATTTACCCGTGAGCGTAAAGACACAGCCCTGTTCTGTTTGGCGCTGTCGTGGCCAGTGTTCCTGTAACTGCAACTGTCTTCTCACATTTTCTTCATCCATCACTGTCGCTCAGTCAGCCACCCACCGAGTCTGACATGGAGCCCCGCTGATTGCTGAGCAGACTGTCTACGTGCTGTGGTGACAGCTATGCAGATGGTGATCGGCACTTTTCACAGTTGCACGAGACTGCAGTAAAATGCTGCAGCCTGGATGGATCAATTACAGTTGGATGAGAACAACATCCACTTGGCCCCTCTGACACACAGTATAGGAAAAGATGCATTGCAGTGTGTTGGTTAAAAGGTGCTTTCCTGAATTACTCTGTTATTGCAGGTTGACTAGTGATTTATGTCCAGCCAGCTAGAGATGTCTGCTTCTGTCTTTATCTGGAAATCTATTCACCTCTTAAATGTGAGGTCATTGATAATGCTGGCTATGTGCTGCCCACATGCCTATACACTTTGCACTGCAGAATAACCCCATACACATGCACTTATTGCATCCAATTTTAAATGCCTCCCTGATGCAATTGTGGACACATTTCAAATCATTATATATTTTAGCTTCATCCTGCAGAATGAACAAGAGATTCAGAAAGCAGGACAATAATTTCATGCAGCTTGCTTTATTTTAACAAGCATTAGGAAATCTCAGTTTTGTTCCTTCACATTCTCTTTTGCATTGCGCTGTGGCTCCTTGTTAATTTTCCCAGCCTCATTCCATTGTGTTTTGCAGTGGCCCTCAATTTCCAGTCTCTGGGCTTACCTATGGACCTTAATGATGGCCGTTTCCAGGACAACGGGGGCTGTGGCTATGTCCTGAAGCCAGCAGTGCTCATGTCCAGTCAGAAGAGCTTTGATCCCAGCTGCAACCAGCACAGCCTGAAACACACACACCTGCTGCTCAAGGTACAGCTATGGAGCATAGGCGCTGGATTTCTGGATTAAAGTGTAATGTTACAGGACTGTTTGTGTACGTGTGTGCTTTACGTGCAGCTATGTGAGTGCCTATGCCTTGCAATCTAGGACATTGTGTTGTGAAACTCCTCTTTATCTTTGCCTCCTGATGAAATAATGTAAAACTCCCTGAGTGTGTCTGTGTTTAATTAGATTATCTCCCTCTGAAAGTAAAGGGAAATGAGAGAGAGGGGGGATTTAATGCAATTAGACCCAAGGACCAATTAATAAATTATCTCTTTGATATTACTTTAAGCATCTTGGGCGACAGCAATAGCAGCACTTGTGATGTATATTATCAAAGCCCTATAGCAAAGGATGAATGAACAACAGTTTACTCTTAGGAGTAGAAATTAATGGTGGGACTCAAGAGATATCTGCAGCTTTGTACAGCGGTAACAATATGTGGAATTGCCTGAGATCACATAAGACACAGACACTTATTGCTGAGGAGTGAGACAAGGAAATATCATAGTTATTCTATTGGAATCGATCTCGAGAACAGCTATCAATCATAGTGAGTATGTGTCTTGAACAGTCAGTTTGTCCAGATTACAAAAATGCTTTAGTGGTGTGTTACCATGCAAAATGTTTTGGTTGCTGTATCCGGTTGTGGGCCTTTGGTTTTTTTTCCCTCAGGCAGTATAGTAACTGTACTAAATGCAACCAGTTATACTGTACCTGTTATAGAATTTCCATCATACCTAAGTCCCATCACACCTTTATCAAACCTTGCTACGCTGTACCTCTGATGAAGGAAGTGTGACATGTCACAAGGATGTATAGAATATAAACAAAAGCACATCAGACACTGGCTTCTAAAAGAATGTGCACACACTGTTGTGTTTTTTATGCACTGGAAAAAACCATACATTTATTTATTCACATCGTCACTGTGCAATATCTGATCACTTCAGGGAAAATTCTGCAGTCTTTGCTCAGCTCAGTGGAAATCAGAGCCATGTGTAGAATTCAGTGTTGCAACTTGGTAGGGTTGGGGGGGTTCAGTCTTTCAACATTTAAATTATTTGCTTGTGAAAATAATATTTCCCCCTGAGCATTCGTGAGTCTATTTAGCATAAATCCATAAGCAACTACAGCATAAGCAATGTTCTTGTTTTATTGTAACAAATCTTCATAAAATGCTCCAACTGCTATTTATGCACTCAGAAGTATGCACCCTTGTTACTAGGAAGAAGCATAACACATGGTATTTTTGGAGAGCAAAGGGGCTGCAATTTTGGACCAGACACTGTAAAGCTCCTTCAGTGCCAAGGCAGGGCATGTCATGATAAGTGCATGTAGATTTGTTTTTGATCAGGGCCAGGGAAGGGAAGGCTCAGAGTCAGAGGACTGCAGATAAGCCTGCCTTTCAGCACACTAGTGTAATTATAGCCCTCTCTCCTCTCATTTTCTCTGTTCTGACTCTCTTTTATATTTACCGTCTACCCCTGGTTTAAATGACATTCTTATACAGTACATCCCTTCTGTGACCTTCCATACCATGTCTCTGTGTACCTACAGGTGATCAGTGGGTCCAACTTACCTGTCCCCAGCAGTGGTAAAGCTCTGGACCCCTTTGTCACAGTAGGAATTAATGGGCTTCCTTCCGACTCCTGCAAAAAAAGCACGCATACTGTCAAAAACAACTGTAAGTACTACAACACAAACCATGATTTTCTCTATCTTTTGTAGAATGATAAGCCGGGTCTTATATTTACTACTCAGAACAGTCATCAGGCTTTTAAATGTGGAAGCTAATCCCACCAATATTGAGGCTTTTGACAGACTTCTAATCAGCTGATGCTCCCCTCTAAGCATGAAGATTTGGTGCCTACGTTTTTAAATAATGGCAGCAAGAAAATGAACTTGAGAGCAAAACATAATTGATGGAATGTAGCAATTTGGTGCATCTGCTTAGATGAAACAAAGACAGGAAAAAAATTTAAATATTTTCACACTATGAAACAAAGTCACTGGTGAATATAAAATGAATTGGGATTTATATGAAAACACAGATGTAACAGAAGAACTTGAGCCAATTGCTTTAAAATCAGAAATGGGTTGAGAATTGTAACGAGATCTTTTGTGCGTTCTCTTTTCATTTGTCACTGCAGAACTGAACCCAAAAATAACACCGGTGATGTAACATCAGAATGATCAAGATACTATTGTGGGTCTGCTAATTACTTATTTAACTATTGATGCTTATTGATTCTAATGAAGTGCTTAATTCTGATTGCATTACAGCTCTGAGTCCTCACTGGGATGTTAACATGAACTTCATTATCAGTGTCCCTGAGCTTTGCCTCATCCGCTTCTGTGTCCGAGATCAGACCGGCCTTCTCAGCAGCGAGTTTGTGGGCCAGTACACTCTGCCCTTCACCAGCCTCCAAAAAGGTGAGCCATAGAGGCAGAAAGCCACATAGGGGGTGGGTGGTAGGAGGCAGATGAAGAGATGAATTACATAAGGTGACATTACATTTCCCAGCATTCAGTGTCAGCATTACTGAGGGTTTTGTCTTTGTTCGAGTTTGTTATGGAAATGAGCCCATGTGTCTGTACGATATTTACAGTATGCATTTAGTAACTATATATACACACACACATTTGTTCTCACGCCTACCTTCCTTCTCCACCTACAGGATACCGCTGGGTGCCTCTACGATCCAGAGACGGATGCAGCCTAGATCCAGCCTCCCTCTTCGTCTTCGTCTGGTATTCCTAAAGACTGTTCTCTGTACCAGACTTTCTCTCTCTCTTACACACACACACACACACACCTTGCCAACAGTCAGAGAAGCATGGCTAATACAGCAGCAACAAAATAAATAAATAAATAAAAGGCCCCATTTCCTCAGATATAAATACTATTTTATTGTCAGAAAATAGATGTGCTTTTTCCCCCCTACTGCCTGCTCTGTGTGCTGCAGCGGCAAAGACCAGAAGGTTCTAGCAGGGCTGAAAAGACTCTGTTAGAATCACTCAAGTGGTGGAGAAGTCCCCAGAGTGACATATTAGTTATTAGGGAATGAATAATTGATGCAGGGTTGATCGCACATTAGATCTTTCCCATCTGCAAGACACATCATTGTTTTTGGATTCGTCTATTCCAAAACAATAGAAGCAGTTCTTCTATTAGGGCTGAAACAGAGTGATGCCCAGATACATTAAACACTCTATGAACACTATGGAACCAGCATAGTCTACTATGAGACCCAGCAAGGAATAATGCACTGTAAATATTCACAAAGGTATACATAACTGAACCAAATCCAATGCTGGGAAGTCCATTTCTACCCTCGTTAATCATTTAATCCTATGAATGAAACAGAGGGGAGTATGAGTGTGCAGCCCTGTCAGGAGCAGGATCACACTCAGATAACATGAAGACCTGCTTTAGCCTAATAAGAGCAAATGTGTGTACCATATATGCATTTTCAGACGTATTTGTTTTGGCATACGAGTGTGTGTGCCTTTGCATGTTTGTACACGCATGTGCATATCTATTGAATGCCACTGATGGACAAGACAAAGGCTGGAGTGAGGGGGAGAGTGTTAACTCGGCCCCTCTGGCCAGAGATGCACAGTTGACATCCTACTCACACACTCATCTCCGTCTTCCTCACCCTCCCGTCTCCCACCTCCAATTCCACTGAGCAAGGACATCCAGTTGACACAGCCCAAAGGGACAAATGTGCTCACTCTGTCAGGCGGCTCCTAACATGACTGCATCACCTCCTCCTTAATCGGTCACATCAACATCTCAACCACATGTTTACAAGGTAAAGAACAAGTTCAAGTACAAATAAAAGTGCAAGCAGGATAATAAAAGTAATAATTTTCCCTTCATCCATGACCAAGGCTCTGTCTGAAAATCAGTCTTACTTAGCAAATATCCTTCATTTGTCTGACGTTTAAAATGCACAGCTTCTTTAAAACAGTAAACATTTGTACTCAGCTTTGTGCTATAACCTCATCCAAACACTACCCATCCACTGCCAGTGTTTTTAGCCCTGGAGTGAGGTCAAGTTGCATCTGATAAAAGGCAGCGCATAGTTCCTTGTTTCAGGTGAATGTTTCTCCCTCTAACAGTCTGAAAATTGTCTGAAGGGATCCTCCCCATCAGTGCAGCTGCACCCCCTACTGGCAGCAGGTGTGCGGTGCAGCTCTGAGGTCAGATTGCACAGTTCCCAAGGGGAAACCATTTCTCCTTGTCAAGCAACTCATCTTCCAGTTTAATGTTGGTTGCAGCCACAAAAGTCTTCTTGCTCTTCACTGTCACTTCCAGCACCATCCCATACAGCAGTGGGACATAACTGTACTCCAGCTGTGAACAGGAGGCAGATGTTGTGGTTATCAAACAGCCTTGCATTCAGGACATGCATGATGTAATTTTAAGGTACTTCTGGTGTATTGGTTTAGCTTTGATCTGACATTTCTGTTAAACTGTGGAACGGTTGGCATTTAGTCCGTCTATTTGACTCTGATAAAACCTATTTTTGCACCATAAAAAGGTAGTAAGAGGCTGTCAAGTATGGGGGAAGTATGCAGTCAGAGTCCCATGGGTTTAACACTCAAAGATCATATTAGACTCACACAGTGAGGAGAGTGGTGCTACAGGCAGGGCTCACATTAAAAGTCAACATGACACAAAATCATAAAGAATTAGTAGAGCTGAGGTGACAGCACATTATGTCCAGAGGGTTTGGATGTACAGAATAAGGAAATAATCCCACATCCTATTTCACTTAGAGTTTTGTATTTGTTACTTATCACACTGGGTTATTGTACTATACTCATTTTGTACACTAAGTTATATGGACTTACATTAATAGACCTGCAATAACTGATTTTATAGGTCACTTGGGGACTGTAGAAACAAACCGTGGACACAGCACTGACATTATTATCTACCAAATTAATATGGAAAACTTATTAGCAAACAGCAGCCTCATTATACATTCAACAGATAAGGAGCAACATACTCTATATTCCTATTTTAACTGTTTTGCTCTCCACTAACTCTTGGCAAAAATATCTGACTCATTAACTGCTCTGCTACAGTATGTTCACCAGCTAGGTGCTAATTTTGTCTGTCTGCTGTTTGGTGCTTAGCAGCACTACCTGCCAGTGCAATGGGTTTTAGAGCTTCTTCCACTGGAGATGGTTAAAACTACACAATGAGACTGGCGAGACTGAATAAAAAAATAATAATAATGTAAAACAAGACAAGCTGAAAGATGCTTAAATACTATGTAGAACTGAAGGGACAGCCGAGTTGATGATGCTGTCAAAAAAAGTGTCCCATTTTAAATAAAATGGACTTATACAGTATAGCAATTGAAGCCTTCTCAAAGCGCTTTCGCACTATTTACCTATTCACCCATTTGCACACACACAGCCACTGGGAGAAATGTGGCGTCAGTGTCAAGGACACCGACACATGGAATGGAGAAACCAGAAATCAAACCACCAACCCTCAGGTTAAGAAACAACTTGCTCTACCTCCTGAGCCACAGCCACCCCGGTATGCTACATTACATAGATACATACTGTACATTTTATATTACACAAAATCATTTATTCAATTTTTATTTTAAACATATGGACTATAGTGGCTTTAGGTTCTGGTCATCTAATGGAAAAAAAACTTGCCCAAATGAAACAATTACTCAGAATACCTCAGCTGGTTCCTTGCAAAAAACATGTTCGTACTGCATATAGATGATTGTCTAAAAGGTGATGTACCAATTCATTGAAGGTGGGGTTGTCATTGTTGCGAACCACCTTTGTCTTCTTTTTGGAGGACTGCTGAGGGTCTGGTCTCAGACGCGTGGTCACATAGGCGTCTGGATTAGAGCCATTTGCCTGCTTCTATAGAAAAGAAAAAAAGGGCCCAAAGTGACACACTGTCAGGTCACATTTATAATGTATGCTTTCCTTTTGCTTAATGCGTCAAACAATGTTGTAATCAGAGTGAAGCAAACTCACAATGTTCTTCAGGTGCTTTACCAAGACCGAGAGCTTACAGTTCGAGTAAGATATACACAGCTGGATTTGAGGTCTGGCTCCTGCAATATGTGAGCACATCATTACCAGGAAATCATAGCATAACATGTTTTATAGATGAATTATCAGAGCTTCCTAAAGACATCAATCTTAATGCCCACAATATTGCCTTCTTTTCATTTGAATCCATCTTTTTTCCATACACCTGCTTATTATTTAAGAGCAAAAAATTACCTGTCACCTCACTTTTTTGGACAGTGCTGGGGCCATCCAGGAATAAGCTGCACACATATTCATTCTGCAGGTGACAGAGTGAGGTAGGTTTGCAAGTTAGAGCTAGGCATCAAAAGAGGCCGCTGACAGAGGATCAGCCAGTGATGGAGAACATGACTAAAGATGCTTACTCCCTTGCAGGGTCCTTCAAAAAGCTGTTTCAGGTATTTATTTAGCAGAGACTTCATCTTCTTGGCTGGTGTAAATGACATCTTATACCATCTAGGAAACCTTTAAAGGCAAAAGAGTAAAGACATGCATCAAACTATGTCATTATTGAAACTATATGAGCAGTGCTTCAAAACCAAAAGGCCATGGATAGTTGGATGTTTTTTCACTCACTGAGGTAGCATAGATTCAATGAAGTATTTCTGCAGCTGCTTATGAATCAGCTCAAACTGCTCCAGTGTCTTCTCACTGGTCAGAAACCCATCATGAATGATGATTCTCAGGTCATACAGCTAGAAATCAAAAACAAAAAAATGTAGTTAATTAAACTGCAGGGTGTATAAATGACATGAAGCTGTAGGTAACCCAAGATTTACATTGAGGGTCCCAGACATGTAAACAATTCTGCAATCTAAACTCGGGTCTAAAAGGGTTTTATTTGCAGAATTTTCTGTTGTGGAAATTAACCGCAAACCACTTCTTTAACAGTTTCTACATTTTCCTTTATGAAAAGAAAAGTATTTCCCACAGTCCAAATTAAAAAGAAGATTGTGTGAAACTGTGAATTTGTTTATGCTCTCTACTAGCCCTTAGAAAATGAGAAAATTAAGAATTCCATCATGCTTGTATTTAATTAATCTACTGGGAAAGCCTTTATCTACACTACTGGACATATGTTAGTTCTTCCGCTTTGACTGATAATTTTCTCTGTTCTGCCAGCAAAGACTTTATCCTGACTTTTGGATGCCCATTCTGATCAAAGAGCAGAGAAAACCCAACAAGCACTAGGAACAGTCCTCAGTCAATTCTGGAGAGCGAGGGAAAGACTTTCAAAACAAAACAGTGCTACCTAGGAGTGACAGGAAACACATACACAAAAAGTCAGCTGTGTGCCAGGGGTTATTCCTCTTAGACAAAACGTCTGTGAACCTGCTGTCAGCTCCAGGTGTTTCATCAGCTTCAATGGCTATTAGGATCTAAAGCTTTGTGGTGCCTTAGGCAAAAGCTCTCAGTGACATCTTGTTATAAAAACAAACATAGAGGCTAACATTTTCTGTTTGAAATCACCAAAACACAAAGAAGAACATGCTGCCTCACCACTTCTTTTCCATTGATGGTGTATCCCTGGATGAAAGCTTCTTGGATGTTATTGCTGGGAGAGGGGATGCCATCCATTGTCAGCGGTTCTTGTTTTTTCCCTTGAGCCATGTTGTGTGTGAGGAAGTTAAACTTGACTGCAACACAGCCCATGCTCTCCTTGATCTTTCTGCATTGGGATGAATACAAACTTGTAAGCATCAAATTAATACAACTGCAGAATTAGAGTAGATATTTTGAACAATTTGTTTAGTTACAAAGACAGATTTATACAGTATTTGTGTGTTGCACAAATACTTTGTAAAGTAGGATGTGGCCTCCAGGTCTGTGTCATGAGGTCTGAGGTTGTTCCGGACATACTGCAGGTCATTGGTGTCTTTAAGCTCTGGCATTCATGCACATAGCATCTGGAAAGCACATTCACAGCATGAATGAACAGGTGTTACCTATATATTATTGTCTGTGCAGTTGTTACTGTGTTGGTGTTATGCAGTAAAGCTCTTACTAGCTCCAGCAAGCTGAGTATCAGGGCAGAGCGCTGTCGGATTATGTTATAAGCTTCACAGCAGAGCTCCACAAAGCGATGTAAGCGCTGAGGCTTCTGCCCCCCACCTGTGATGAAATGCTGCATCTCAGATGTAAAGATGAACGGTGACCGGTCCCTATTATAGTAGAAAGAGTGAGGGGGAAGTTCTTGTTAATTCACATTGACTTTATCCTTCTCTGGATATTCCTTGCTACTCAGACACAAACACTATTTTCATTTTCAAAATTGCTGGGTGCCTTTTTATTGACTTGCCTTTTAAAGCTTCCAAACTTCTGCGCATTGCCCATAATCTTGCCAAAGTCAATGTGGAACATGTGTCCACTGTGTTTCAACATGATGTTGTCATTGTGGCGGTCACATATTCCTAGGATGAATGTGGCCACACACCACCCTGCACACGAGTGGATGAAGTTCATCACAGCCTGCACATACACAGTGAGAGAATGTTACACAATGCAACAAAAAGACATAACAGCAGAAGTATATATTCAGGTACGGTCATACATAGTTAAGAATGGAAGATTTTGTACTGATCTTAACCTTTTCATAGTCATCCTTAGTTTTGTTCCACATGTGGAACCATTTCTCCAGTGTGTCTT